TGGTAGCAAATATGACTTGTACAGTAAGAGCAAAGTTCGGGTTGATGTGCAGAAAGTGAAACCTTATTACCTTTCTCTCATCGAAAAGGTAAAATTGGCGTAATCCTATAACTCACTTCACAAATTAATGTTGTCGTTAGACAGACCTGAAGGTTAAACAACAACAAATTTTCAAAATAATTTCGGAGTATATGTTTATAAAATATGATTTGTCGATTTTCGAGCAATTGGCTTAATAACAACATTTGTGATCTGAATAAATTTTTTGTTTCTCCATTTTTGTGTGCAGTATTTCCCTGCAAAGCTAAGATGGTGAAATCTTCATGGGGAGGATGCTTAAGGAGTCGGTGCATTTTAGTGTTTTAGCCAGCGTGTTATATATGATGAGTGATAAATAAAAAATGAATGTTGGTGAATGAATTTAAATTCGTACTATGTAAAGTAGTTTGTATGAATTTGCTACATAGTTATGTAATTCGTTTTTGCGAGTGTATGTATATATTGTCCGGTTTTTTGAAAATAATGGAATAAGATCCTCTTTGAATCATTTCTTGTTATCAACTTTTACGTGTTGGTATTAAATCTTACTATGTTGTACCTAAGTCTAGTCTCTTATAGTGTGCTTTATTTGCGTGGAACTGTATCCTTTTGTCCGATTCTCTAAATTTCACATGGTATCAGAACCAGACCAACTCCGTTCTCGGTCTCTATCTTTACCCGACTTGCTTTGAGCTTTGACTTACTCTCTATCCTCTTATAGTGTGTTTTATCTACGTGGGACCGCATCCTCTTGCCAGATTCTTTAAATCTCACATGGTATCAGTGTTAGGAAATATTTTATTTCCTATGTATACTCTAATTATGGACAACATATTATATACAATTATATTATATTAGCTATTCAATTAATTAATGGACTCAATTAAGTGATCTAAATTAAGTAGAGTTCATGGGCTACATAAATTGATATGGACTTAATGAGTGGATACCTAATATTACTAGGGTTAGGTGATAATGGGTGGCCTACACTATTAGTATATATAGACCCTCTTGGTTATGGTCCCCAATACACTAAATCAAACACACTTTTCTTTTCTCCCCATTTGAAAGAAGACGACGGTCCCATCTGAGGAATAAGGCGATTTAGTTGAGGAAGGCCATAATACCAGTTGATCCAATTAATCAATCGAGTTCGTGTTCCGCAAAAGAAACTCATTTGATCCAGGTATTTCTAATAATCTTTCAGATCTAGAGCGATGTTGATTTTCCTAGAATTAAAGCATGTTCTAGGATAATTGTTATTGAATTTATATTATGTGATTATAAATTCCTACAAGTGGTATCAGAGCAGTCATCGACTATTAGATCTGAATTATTTGTACCAGATTATTTGTATATCTTTGAATATACGCTATTGTTTCGAATTATTTAATCATAAGTAAAATTGTGTATTCGGTTTGAATCTGACATCGTGTCCTGATTATGTATTCGGCGTGTTTGCTTTTGATGAATTGCCAGAATATTTATGTATTGTTTCATGTGTTATATTCACAATTGTCAATATGTTTTGGTTTTGAAAATAAAATTCATCAACAATCTGTGGGCCCTTGTTATTGCTACTGTTAGATTGTGGTGCAATTTATTCTTCAGTAAAGCACATCAATAGGCCATGGGGATGGGGTCATAATCATTACAATAAAAGATAAATACATAAAATTGGGGCCAATTGAATTGATGTGTCGTGTGCTAAATTGTTCTTGTCAAATATTTATGACTGATTTAGCATGCGTGGGCCAATAGCCATTAACCATATTAATTTAGTAATTGAAGTTGAGTTTATTGCTAAATTGTTTGATATGGTAATATGTGCTTTTATGATGTTATGCTATTTGAATGTCTTAAAGGCTGAAGGTCCAAATTTGATTTTGGACTTGATCAAATAAAAGTCTAATTTGGTTTATAGGCTTTTATTTGAATTGAATTGGGGAATACTCATTAGAATAACGTGTGTTATTGTAGTGATAAATGTGTGACAATTATTTAGTTATACATATGAATGATAAGTCGGCCCAAAGAAAAATTTATTGTTGATATGTTATTATTGTCAATGTCTTATCGCTACACTAAGATATCAATTACAAGTTAATATTTTGTCCAAAGATGAAATATCAATGGAGTTATGATGTCTTGAGATAAAGCTACTCTTATTTGAGTTTATTATGTTAATTCTAAGTAAATTTTGTGACCATAAACATTGACATTGTTACTTATATGTTTTCGGGATCTATGGAGTTATCCATCTAAGGTTGATTTAAAATTTATTATGGTTGTTTATGAGGTTTTAAATCAACATAAGGGACTAAGTTTTATGGTCTTTCACTAAAGAGGATAAAATAAAATAGTAGATCTTTATTTTGTCTTATTTTGTTATGAGTGTATTAATTTGTGCTTAAGTAGACATTTGGTTTTCGTCCAACTCGACTCAAATTAACAAAGTTTGTTTCTAGCTTAAAATCTAGATGTTTGAACTTGGTTCTATGTTTTGTGGATACGCCTAATTTAGATATACTAGGCTTTGTCTGTATAAATTTGATTTAAAGTCTAATTTGGTTTTATAGACTTTAAACTCAAATAAAGTTAATGGACACAAGTTCATATAAAGTTTCATATTTTGACTCAAATTAAAAGTTAGATTTTGAGATTATCTTTTTCTTGGTATCTGACAATATTTATAAGGTCTGGAGTTTGAGTTTGACTTTGTAGTAGACTCATAATTTGTTTCCGGAACGCTGGGCT